TAGGCAAAATATTGAATCAAAAAGCAGGAAAGTCTGTCAGTCACTCTTTAATAATAATCAGCATTCGAGCATTAACTAAGTGGACACAGCTCAGGGCAAGTCCACTCTCACTCTACTCAGAATTTAGGTTCAAGTTGAAGAGTAGTAAGAAGATGGAAAATGTTTGCTGTCTGTCGAACTAGAGCGGGATGATATCAGCTGCAGGAACACCAGGGTCTATTTTGGGGGACTTTTGCCCCTTCAGAACTTGCTGTACAGTTCCACTGAATAATTAATCCTGCAATTCTTTGGCTGATTTATATTGCAGAAAATTACAACACAGGCTGGAATATTACAGTACTCATTAAAAGGGGTAAGACAGGGACCCAGGGGAAGGAATGCATGACCCTTTGTGTCCTAGTTAAAGTGACTCGTGTCGCTGTATTTAGCTGTAAAACTACAGGGCTGGTAGGATTAAACACGGAGTAGAAAGTAGTGCAATGAAAATCCTTCCTCTCGACATTTTCTAACCCCATTAGGGAGGACTGCATCGGAAAGGTCATCTGGAACCACAAAACATTTTAAATATAATATTTAATTGAACAAGACAAACTAGTATATATATTTTTTAAATTGATATTTCTCTTAGAAATTATGAAAGGCTTGTGTGTGTGTGTGTTTGTGTGTGTCTGCTGGCTCTTGTCCGTACTTGTATGTGAAATTGGAAAATCTAAAAAAAGAAAGACAGGATGACAGCGTCTGTATTCATCACAGTAGTAAGTATTGATTCGTTTTTTACAGAAATACAAAACAACCATAGCTCTTGTTACTGTGGCTACCAGTGTTCATTTTCAACAGGGTTCCTTTTTGTATAGCATTTTTAGACTCATCATTGACTTTAGAAGCCACAAGGCTTGAAACTTGTATTATCCTCTGTAAAAAAGACACACGTCACACCAGCATTGAGAATCATGATCACAATAAACCAGTCCAAAACTAAATGTTGTACTCAATTAGTCATATTCAGGATGTATTTGGCTTGACTAAATGAATGAATTTGAATATCTAAAGTGTTACTTTTGGTGCTATATTTCACAGAAAACCCAATATCACTAGCAATCACACATTTAGAATTCCTAGTAAATTTTGGGCTAGATTTTGTTAGCTAAATTGGTTATCCACCCTACTCTTTTCAAAATACAGTCAAAGCAGGGGTCACAAACACAAATTAACTGAAGGCCACAATCACTACTTTTTTTTCTACCGTAGATTGACCTCCGATTTTATTACTCATCAAAATGTACCTTCACAGTAATCATATTTTTGTTGTTATAGTTATAGATAAAATATAAATGTGATAGCTTTAGTTCCCCTCTGACTAAGGAAAACAACAAGTTTGTTTCTTGATTATTACTTAAATGTGGATAGAAAAACAGGCTTGTGTGATGTTGATTTAATTATTCAACATACTTATAAATGACCTTGAAAACTTTTGTTTTCTACCAGGACTTCATCTCTTCTTGGGGCGTTTGACATTCCAGCAGCATGCATGTCATTTAGATTAACTGTCCAAAAAACTTGTCAATTTATTTTGGCTTCATCCAAAGACAGAGGTTAGTTTATGTAACTTTGAGCTCCTACCTTATTAATGTGCCTTACTTCATAGATATAAATTGCGAGACAAAGCTCTTTCAGCTTTTATGTTTTCCTCACTCACCCTCTGCCTGCACAAGTGACTGGAGAAGTTTGGCAGCTACATTGTAATTTTGTTTTATGTGGCTGAGATTTAGAGTACAAGGACAGTGAGCCCAGACACCCAATGGGAACTGAGATGCACTATTAAGATGATGTTTGTGTGATGGTGTGTATGTTTGTGTTTATGCCCGACTTTTAGTGGCTACAGCACGGTCGTTAACCGAGTATAATGTTTGTTTTAAACCTTTGACTGAGTCTTTTTGGAAATTAAATTTGTCAATATTTCTGTGTTGCCAACCTTTGATTGACTAATATTCCTCTCCTCTCCTTGTTCTCATTTCATTTCAGTGGGCCTAAATCTTCTATCCAAAGACCTGGAGACCCGTCAACAAATTATGAATGTTCAACAATATGACCTCCTCTCAACAGCAGCAGATGATGCGAGGTCCTAGGTTGAACCGGGCCTTGTCCGACCCTTTGCTCGTGCTGCTTCTAGCTCTCCAGCTGCTGGTGGTGGCGGGTCTTGTTCGTGCACAGACGTGTCCCTCCGTTTGCTCTTGTAGTAACCAATTCAGCAAAGTTATATGCACCCGGCGAGGCCTGCGCGATGTCCCTGACGGCATCTCTACTAACACACGCTACCTGAATCTGCAGGAAAATCTAATTCAGGTCATCAAGGTAGACAGCTTCAAACATCTAAGGCATCTAGAGATCCTGCAGCTGAGCAAAAACCACATTAGAAAAATAGAGCTGGGGGCGTTCAATGGACTGGCAAGCCTCAATACACTGGAGCTTTTTGATAACCGCCTTACGACCATCCCAAACGGGGCATTTGAGTACCTGTCCAAATTAAAGGAGCTTTGGCTGAGGAATAACCCCATAGAGAGCATTCCGTCCTATGCTTTCAACAGAGTGCCCTCATTACGGCGTTTGGACCTTGGGGAGTTGAAAAGGCTCTCGTACATTTCTGAGGGTGCCTTTGAAGGGCTGAGCAACTTGCGCTACCTAAATCTGGGAATGTGCAATTTGAAGGAAATTCCCAACCTCATTCCTCTGGTGAAGCTGGATGAACTGGAGATGTCGGGAAACCAACTCACCGTCATTCGTCCTGGCTCTTTCAAAGGGCTCATCCACCTGCAAAAGCTGTGGATGATGCACGCCCAAATCCAGACCATAGAACGGAACTCTTTTGACGACCTGCAGTCTCTAGTGGAACTCAACCTAGCCCACAACAACCTTACTCTTTTGCCCCATGATCTCTTTACTCCTCTGCATCACCTGGAGAGGGTGCACTTACACCACAACCCATGGAATTGTAACTGTGACATCCTCTGGCTGAGCTGGTGGCTTAAAGAGATGGTACCCGCAAACACGAGCTGCTGCGCTCGCTGCAGCTCACCGACTCAACACAAGGGACGGTACATTGGTGAGTTGGACCAGAACTACTTCCACTGTTACGCTCCAGTTATTGTGGAGCCTCCTGTGGACCTCAACGTGACGGAGGGGAGCTCAGCAGAGTTGAGGTGCAAAGCGAGTTCCTTAACCTCTGTGAGCTGGATCACGCCTAATGGGTCAATCATGACACACGGTGCATACAAGGTCAGAATCTCGGTGCTCAACGATGGCACTTTAAACTTCACTAATGTCACCATGCAGGACACTGGCACCTACACGTGCATGGTGAGTAACTCTGCAGGCAACACGACGGCGTCTGCCACACTCAATGTGTCCTCGACAGAAAACAGCAGCTTCAGCTATTTTACCACAGTGACAGTGGAGACCATAGAAACCCCACAACATGAGGGTTTCACCACTACTGTGCAACAGAAGGTGGGCACCACGCCCTCTGCTGGAACGTGGGAATCCATCTCAGTCATCTCGACGACCACCACCACTACCACCACCACCACGTTTCGCACTCCTCTCTCTACCCGTGCCACAGAGAAGACTTACACGGTCCCTGTCACAGAGTTGATTGGCGAGGGCTCACTCAACGGTTTGGACGAGGTGATGAAGACGACCAAGATCATCATCGGCTGCTTCGTTGCAATCACACTTATGGCAGCGGTCATGTTAATTATCTTCTACAAGATGCGCAAACAGCACCACCAGCAGAACCATCATGCGCCCACACGCACTATTGAAATCATCAATGTGGACGAGGACTGTGTTACGGGAGGACCCGGCATGGAGGGTCACCTGACTTTGCCTCCACTTGAACATGAGCACCTCAACCACTACAACACCTACAAGACCGCATACAACCATGCCTCAACTATCAATTCCATACACAGCTCAGTGCACGAACCTTTGTTAATCCGGGCCAGTTCGAAAGACAATGTACAAGAGACCCAAATCTAATCCCTTTTTTTTGTTTTCCTTTTCAAATTAACAAGTGAAAAACTATGGCGGAAAAAACACTATGAGGAACAGTAGCTGATATTTGGTTGTGAGGATTCTAACTGACTTCTGTTGGGCTATTATTTTGGCTGGTGATTGTTGAATAAATGACTCTGAGAAATAGTGTCTTCAAAAAAAAAAAACAGAAGTTATTTATTTAAGAACAAATGATGTGGTTATATCAAGAAAATGTATTCTGCAATTATTTTTCCAGCACTTATTTCACTTTTGTTGGTTTTTTCCCTCAAATTACACGTGTTCGGTTATTTGATGTTTCCATGAAATGTTTGAAGACATTTGTTAATGAACATCCCTTTAACATAGTATTAGAAACTCTGAGACTCTGGATCAGATGGTTGGGTTAGCCCATTATTAGGAAAGAAGCATATGAGTGATTTCATCTACAACTGCAATGAATGGCACAATCTGTAACTCATTTATTACATATATCATAGGCACGCTGTTATCACTGAAGTGAAATCCCCTAATGAGTAAAATATATATGTACAAGTTAAAGAAACCTTCAGACGTTACTTTATTTCTTGAAAGGATTTTTTTTTTAAATTATACATTAAAATAACTTTATCCTTATGTGCCTAATGTATGTTCAAATTAGAATTTATAAAATTATTCTGAAGATTCTTGGCCAAATGTGTTAAAAAAAACAGTGTTCTGAGGCTGATGATTTAATTCTAGTTAATTAAAAATATATTTGGAGATGTAAAGATTTTGATGCCTCTGAATGTTTTCACAGAATATGACAGTAGTACATCAGCCTTCCTCGTACTCAGACACTTCACCTCCTTTCTGCAAGTGCAGGATACGATGCCAAGAGATTGGTGTGGTCTGCTGAACGAGTGTAAACCCTTTATACAGCCGCCGGAGCACATCGCCTGTCCTCAGAGTGTGAATCTCCCACGTGGGTATAGTCTGGCAGTCCCATTTCTGCACCCCCACCCTCGCCAACATAAAACTTGGCCCCAGAAGGCGGGGCCTATTCTATAAGAGGATTACAGGTGCACGTGTGGGATTGGGCATCAAACCAGGAGTTTTGTTGTTTCTGTCCCTGCAGTAGCTTGGCAACAAACTAATTTCTCCTCTAATTGAGCTGCGAGGTGGCTTTGGGTAGCAGCAGCTCTTCACATGCCAGTTTGCTTAGGATATACACATACTAACTTAAAAAATGAGACACTTTTACAAAAGAAGAAAATCCTGGAAATGCAGAAAGTAGGTCTATAGTTATCATTATTCTACATGTGTACACTAGCCACATGAAACTGTGGCATTAGAATGGGTAAAGATTTGAGCACCATGGTCCATTTGGTTTTAAGCCACATAATTATTTTGCCATTAACAGTAAGTTAAATCTCAACTAAAAGGATGCAAAAAAAAAAAAAAAAATGTAAGACTTCAAATCGTTTTTATGTGGGATTTTCTCACATCAGATTAATACAACAACTGGAAATGGAACAACGGGTTTTCTTTTTCTTAAATGGGTAACATTAGGAATAAAATATATACATATCTACATAGAGTAAACATTATCAACCACACCAACAAACTCTAAATTGCACACATCTATCTTTGGTTAGTTGTTTTGGCTACAATCAAACGAGATTGTTACTAGATTTTAACTAATTATTTAGGTTACGGATTCAGTAGGTCATAATTGCACCGCCTAGCTAACTGTTCCCTCACTGTTTCCCAACCTTTCCTAAACCATGACAAACATTTTGGCTTAAAGAAATAAATTAAAAATAAAATCAGAACAAACAAAGTTCTCAATAATTTGTTTGATACTATGTGTGTTAAAATATAAAGATTTCATACTTTTAATGTACCTAATTTACATTTAGTTGAACACAACTTTTTTTATGTCACACTAATGTGCCGCGAAACTGTGTTTGGAAATTACTGGACATATTACGCAAATTACGTCTGTATGGATTTAGTCTGACTACCTAATAATAGGGATAATTTCATGAATTTCTTAACATACACCCCAGACATGTTTTTATACTGATGAGAACTGAGTGTTCTGAAATAAGACAAAAGTAAAAAAAAAAAAACCACTACTTTTATAAATTCTTTTCCCAGTATGTTTTAAGTAAGAGATAAAAAAATGAGGACAGAACAATTATTTTAACCTTGTTTTTTTTTTGTTTGTTTGTTTGAAATTATTTTAACCTTGTTTTTTTGTTTGTTTGTTTTAGCAGAACTGGCATTACTTTAGGTTATCCAATGTTTTGTAATACTATTTGGTTTATATATTCTTGGGTTTTTGGAGTTAATAAAATATGTCCAGTATCCTTCTCCATTTTAACACTAATCAATTATAAAACTGCGTCATTCTGAGGGCTTTAGGTGCAATAATCAGTGGGGAAAATAACCCCAATGGTGCCAATGGTTGAAAACGACTTATGTCTAATGAAAGCCAACATAAACTTTAACATAATTTTTCAAAACATGGTTCGCTCAGTCTCTTCAAAACAACAGACTTTCCTCACTTATCTAAACACATGTGAGGTCCCCGGATAAGTGAACTGTAATATTTTGACCCAATAACTAATGCTGTCATTGCATTTGTGCAGAGTGGAGTCTGGAGTCTGACACGTCACTCCTGGATGTTTGTTCTCAAGTCTTGGTTTCTGTCTTTCTTATTGTAGTGACAAATTGATCACAATTGTTTCAGTCGACATATGGAAGTGTTACCATCTCTTGTTTTTGCCTTTAGTTGAAGGCTAATTGTCCAGATGAATTAAATGGTAAATTACTGGCAATGAAGTCAAACTGTCTCATGTATGTAGGCTATCTGAATATTTTTGTCAAAATTCTTTTCAGATTCTTTTCATTTTTCTGTGTGAGCGAACAAGCGAGAATGAGAGAGAGAAAGTAATGTTCTTGTGGTAGATTTATATAAAACACATTTTGAGAATAAAACAAAAACAGAGATTTTTAAATATTTGATTTTACATGTGCCAAGCTGTAAAAGTGAAATGATCAACATGATGTAAAAGAATAAGAGATTAATTTTCATCCAAGCATTCCTTCATGACCTTTACAAGATACGGAAATGGATTATAGAGACCAGAGTTTGTAGTTCATACAAATGGTTATAATAAACAGTTGTTGTTTTTTTTTTTTGTATTGTCTGCTGCTTGTTTTTGTCACACCTACAGTATAACACAACACACACACCTTTTTTTCCTTATCTTCATTAAAAATCTTTAATGTTCCTACAACTGGAACTGTAGCATCACATGGAACATAGAAGGTAACAAAGGGATGGTGGTACTCAATAAGGGGTTCAGGGCTCTGGCAGTGGCACATTCTCAGAAACTATACTGGGGGTCCTTGATTTATGTCAGTTTTGATCCTATGGAGTGACATAACTTGATTTTGAGTTTGAACTTACCAACTGTACATCACTACCTGTGTCACTCACCTACGCTAACACAGTGGTAACATCATTATATACAACATAAAAACATGAGTCTAACTTGACCCTGGAGCCATAATGAAAGGCAAAAAAACAACAATACAAACAAAAGAAATAGTTGGGGAGTTTTCATATTGTTCGTCAGATGATGAAACAAGAATGGTGAAGAAATCACGAAACGCTGTATGTCAAGGACGTCATAAACCAATTACTCCTTGAATATCCTCAGCTTAACATCATTAACAATCTTCCCCTAATCTTCCCCTAAAAAAGCTCAAAATACTTTCCTATCGATGTGCGTTGAGAGCTAAATCACAAAATAAATATTGGTTGTAATTCATTCATTTCACTCCAGTGTGTGACTGTTGCTGGTCTGCAATTCTCAAGTTCATAACAGATTGGGTTTATATTTAAAATTAAAAATGTTAAATTAATAGCAAGCTTCGCTCAACACTCCCGGAGGCCTGTTTCCACTAGCTCCCACTAACGCACCATTAAAACTGATCATTTTCTTATTTATTCTGCTCCTGAGGCTCAGGTAAATTAATGGGTTCTCGATGCTAGCTGCACTGTTTGCAGCCGTGCCGGTGTTCCAATGTGTATAGTAGTATACTAATTAAGTCAGTACTGTTAGGAGGGCTTATCTAATTAAGTCAGTACTGTTAGGAGGGCTCGGATTCTAAAATGGAAGGTGGTAGGAAATACATATAAAAAAAGAGCAGCTCCTCAAAAGAGCTGTGTATATGACGCGCTGCTGTTGCTCTAAAAAAAAAAAGAATGATTTATAGTAAGGTTGGTTTAACTCACTGTCAGACACAATGGCAGAGGAGACATATTTTAAAGAGAGACCACAAGGAATAGGTGCCAGCAGGGACCTAAATTATTGCTGGGATTCATTATATTTGCATCTCCACTCCCTCCAGTAGCTGACGTCAAAGATCAGATTTTTTTTTTTTTTTTAATTGGATGAATAGAATAAATGTGTGTGTTAGTGTTTGTTCTCTTGTCTAATGGTTGTTGTTTGGATATTTGGCACTGCTATTGGCTGGTCCACATTGTACCCCATCTCTGCCCAAATGGCAGCTGGGATTGCTCCAACTCGCCCCAGGACACAAATCAGGTTTAAGCTGTACAGAATAAATAGATTAAAGGGAGTTTGGCAAATGGAGCAGCTGTTTGGTTAAAACAGAGATGAATGAGTGATTGGGGGAACAGGATTGCCAAAACAAAACAAAAAAAAGAATATATCATTGTCTGCAGTGCGGCAGAAATAAAAAATAGAAAAGTTCACATTTTTGTGTAGTTTGTGAGTTTTTTTTTTTTGTCTGCTATTAAAACACCATTATGTCATTATATATATGGAAATAAAAGGCATCCATAAACTATTTAAAACAAATTCCCAGTGTCTATATATTCAAGCCTTTTCCATGTCAATGATTAATGTTAAGTTTGCACAAAGGTAAATAATCCATGACTGACAATATTAGAAATGAATGTGTACTTTTAAATCGATAATTTGAATTTAGCGATTTGTGAGTTTACCCGTTCACGATACTTTCTCCATTAGTTAAGTGCACTGAGTGAACATTTTCTTACATCAATCTGAACTCGGTTGAAAGGTTATTCACAAGAACAAGTGGTAGATTTACATTTGGAGACAAAGCAGTAATCCAGTGTATATTAAAAATGCAGCTCACGCCACACATGTCTAAGCCCATGATTAATCACAGCAGCTCAGCCCGGGTGATGCCAACATACTTTACACCTTCATTCTTGCCTCAAGTAATCTCTTACATTGTGCCGCAAAATAAGAGATTTTTTATTTTTCTCCTTTCAGTGTAGTCAGTTCTGTTTGGCATTTGACGATGCTAATGTTGACTACCGACATGCAAACTCTGACTCTTTGTCATCTACCATGTCTACCTCCTCCTGCTGTACATTTTGAAGAAGAGCCAATGTCAGTGGAGCTAGGATGGTTACGTGATTGTTCGACGGAAAAATGGTCAGTATGTTGTAAAGAATATATTAGCTAAAATCTACGCAATCTGTGCCACATTTCCTGGTCAATGAAATGCTAATTCACAGATGACGACATCAGCCTGTTGGTGTAGAGCAGTGGTTCTCAATTATTAACTGTCACCCCCCCTCACCCCCCGACACACACCCCCGCGAATTGAAATACTATTGAGAACCACATAACGTATATTTTTATCTGTACAAATGGCTGTATGAGTTGCTGCCACCTAGTGACTGGAGGCTTGTTAACATTCATGCATTACAGCAGTGGTACACTTATGTCCAGTGTGCCATATTCCATCGGAAGCCCCTCACACCCCCCCAGACACCTCACCGCACCCCCCAGGAAGGCCTGCCCCAAGGAAGTACTGGTGTAGAGACATCTTGAGCATCCCTGCACTTTATATCAAGGTCTCCGTCTTCCCACAATTATATGATACTGAAATACAGTACTTTGTTGTTGCACGGCTCACACAGACACGTTTCCTTGATTAGGATGAAACCCCCAACAATTAGGGCACAGCATGGGACCTCATGACTAGGATGCAGCATGTTTATTAATAAGTAATGAACAAAACTCAGCTTGTGCCCCATCATTAGGTTACAGAAATCATTGACACCAATCGCTAAGCTAAGGTTACACCTATAAATAAGGATTGATTGACTGGTTCTCTACAGTCATGTAGGTTTTTTCACAACATGTATTTGTTCCTACTCTCAGGGTGCGGACGCAACGTGCTGAGCAAAGTCACACTGACGCAGGTCCTAAAGAACAAAAATCAAGATCTTTGTTTCCTGTACTGACATTTACAAATAATGTGATCAATGACATTAAACCTTTAAGGCTGAAGCAAGCAAACAATTACTGAAAAAGCAATTGTTCCACTGTACGTACAACGCATCATCATCCACATACATTTACAGGTGACTCCACATACATCATTTTCACATCATCCACATACATTTACAGGTGACTTAAAGATTAAAATGAAAAAAATATATAAACTACACATTTATTATGTACTGTAATACAAAACTTTTGGAACTTGCTAGTTTAATAAAAAAGAGTTATAAATAATAATGTTGAATGTATGTAGTGTATGTACTCTAACAAGAAATAATATTTTAACATTGTATATGTATGTATAGCATATATGTATATTATATAGTGTGTATGTATGGATATATATGATAAAGTCACACGGAAAACTACCAATATCATTGACAGTTCGATATACAACTCGTCTTTCAGATACAGCCGACCGCCAATAATTACATTTTTGAAGTGATGAATTATTCAAGCGTAATAAATTCATCTTAAATGGATCTCAATATGCCTGCATAATGCCCCACAGAATGATGGTTATTGTGGCTTATTTCCAATGCAGAACTAAGGTGCAATATGGGAGAGACTGTGCTGATTTTATGACCTGTGATGATGACTGGCAAATGAAATTCCCAAAAAAAAAATTAAATGTCAGACTGGAAAGGGAATGAAAGTTCCTCAAGCATTTAAGCATTTTTACAGAAGTGTTTCCAGGCAGGGGAAGCCGTAAAGACAATAAAAAGAGGCCACTATTGCTTAATGTCATGTTTAAATTTAAGGCATAAAACTTTCATATTTTAGGGTGGACATTTTAAAAAAATACATATGGTATTAATAATCTAATAAAAGCCTTAGAAATATGGCACTATAT